GTGTTTCATGTGCCCTGTAATATATCGTTGAATGAAAAGACCATAAATGAAGAGACGTTGCCATTAGACAAGTAATTCAATATTATTGGAATTAATTCAACAATGCAGTTAAAAATCTTGCAAACACGTGGAACCGTAAGCTCTTGTCTAACACCGAATCTCTTTATAGTATACATAAGTTCAATTAGCATGCTGTATGTTATAATTAAATATAAGAAACTAAGAATCGTTAGTCACATACTTGCAAAGCTCTTATTCGACAAACTTAAGGCATATTTTGCTCAGTAAAACTTTAGAAAATTGATGATCTCACCGATTTCAATGACATATGTTGGCAAAGTCATAATCCTCAAGGTTTCAGCCATCGCTCGTTATCCATTAAAAAGTTATTAATAAAATAAGTTTAAGAAATAACGTCTCTTTTCTACTATATAGAAAACAATAATCGCGGAAATTCTTTGTTTTAGAATAAAACTTCTGCTTAAAAAACAATACTTTTCTTTGAAATTATTTTTTATGTAATTTTTGTTTAAAAAAAAAACAGGAAATTTGTAATTTTGTAACATGTTTATGTGAAACGAGATCCATTCCAAACCCCCCTCCCTATATTCAATTAAAGCGGATCTTGGTTTCTAATAATATTTTTGCAATTTCCAGTTCATGCAAACTGCGCATCGATTATTTATCGATCTTGATATACAAACCTAAACTGAAGCTGAAATATGCAATATCACGATTAACAAGCAATTTAATAATAATGATGAACTAATAAGGACTTTAAACATTGTAAAGAATTTATTATAAAAAATATTATTCAAGATCAAAAATTTAAGACTATGTAATTCTTCCTTTTTATATATGATTATAATTTTATGAACGTACAAAGGTTTAGAATCTTTTATGGAAGCCAAGGTAATGTCCCAATGGCAATGGTCGGACACGTCTCAGTATCACGTGAAAAATAATATTTGTTATTCACTTTAACACTTACAAATGAAAATAATTATTATAAAAAAAACTTCTATATTTGTTGATTAATTATAATAAAAAAAAATAGACCAAGTATTGGGTGAGTGCAAAAATTTGTGCCCAATTTATTGTTCAAAATTCAAACAGCTGCTGTTTTTATTAAAAATAAAATAAAATCTAAATCTTATTCTATCTGATGAAAGAATTTAAGAATATGTTTAAATTGTGATGGTTTTGACGGAATTATGAGCAATCGAAGTCTAAATATTCTTTTTATTTAATTCGCAACAATTCAGTAACAAAAAAATCGTGTGTGTGTGTAGGGACATTATAAAAAATGATTTTATAAAAAAAACTTTAAGCTTTTACACTAGAAATTAAAAAAATGTTTACAAATGTTTTTTGGACATGTGACAGGTCCACAAAAGAAGAAAAAACTCCTAGTTTTCTATATGTAAAAATTACAAAACTCACATAAATTAAAAAAATATAGTAATCATTCGAAAGTAGAAATTTCAAGCTCTAAAACTCTTTTTTAAAATTTAAATTTCATTTATTTTTAACAAAATTACAGCTGTTTAAACTTTGAATAATAAATCGGGCACGAATTTTTGCACTCATCCAAAATATAAAATATTTGTGTATGAAAAAAAATTATTAAAAAAGTTTAGGTCTACGATTTGGCAAAATGGTGGCGAGTCGTCAGCAAATTAATTTTTAAATTGATATTTAATAACTAAAAAACAACTAATTCAAATTGATCTTTATATTAATAACATCTTATTTTTGTCAGAAATTATAAGAACAGTTTATTGCGCACTTTGCAAGGTTACGTCCGGACATTGGTACATTGATGACGCATTCTATTATCTACTTATTTAAATATTTCAATTAATAATTGTTATAAAAGTGGGCTGAAATAATTTTTCCTTGTTGAAGAAAGTCCTAAGTTTTCAAATTAATACAAATATTTATAAACAATAAGAATCCTATTGGACCGTACATGTGAAAACACAATCAATAGGAAATAGGAAATAAAAGTCTATAACGGTCGAAGCTGGATCTTTAATGCTTAAACAATTCGATATGAATTTATATATGTATAGGTACTATATTTGTAGTCACTTGAATTGCGCACCAAATTAATTTTTTCGAATTTAACGCAGAGAGAGCCAAACTACTGAAATAATATCACAATTAAATTCTAGGTGCTTTCCAGCAAGAACACAGTCAGACACAGTGTAACACAATGAATCATTACAACCTTGTTGTTTGCCTATGTTAAACACTCTCTGATACTCAATAGGGGCATCTGTTAAAGAGATCTTAATATGCTGGAAATCTGTATAAATAAATTTATTTATTGCGAAAAATATTACCTCGGCCAGGAGTCGAGAATCCGGATCTCTATAGCATTCCGTGCGAGCGTCCTAAGCCTTTAGAGACGACCAAGGCCTTAGTAATATTCTGCGCAATGATCAGTACATACATGTATGGAGACAACGTCTTTCTTTCAGGCCACGTAATATACTTATTGTTTATATTATTGAGAATAATCTATCATTTTTTCATCATTTGGTGATTATGTTGAAATGTCTCCAATACATCCTTAAAATAAATAAAAAATATAAGCAAACAACTGGTGTATAAAACACTGTGTGTATTATTATTAATAATAATTAACAATTACAGAGACGGTTCAATCACAATTTCGAATTTAGATTATTTTTAACTTAAACTAACGAGTTGTAGTGTTAAAATAAAAGCAAAGAATTTTGGCGTGATCTCACTGTTATTTTTCCATCCCAACCGAACGTCGACGATTTTATCTGCTCCAGAAATGGAGGAAACGTTTAAAAAAAAATACTGATAATTGTCCCGATAGAGAACGAAGGAAAATTGCAACGGTCACGCACACGATTACGCGGCCAGGACGTTTGTCTACACGTTTCAAGGACAACAGCGCGCGAAATTGAGTAATCCGCCAGCACCGCCGACGAATTCGCGGAACAGAGCCCCGCTATGTATAACCACCGAGAACACGTGGTCGAATTAAGTATTATTTCGACGCCGCGCCGCGCCGTGCTCTCCAAGTGCGACGGTATTTAAGCGCTGAACGAGGAAGAGCGAGATGAATGCCGTTGTGTAGCTTGACATTAATATAAAATTGAAATTAATATAATTTTCAAGCCTGTTGATTGGCTATGGGATAGAGAAATCCGAAGACCTCTCTGTTCTATACATATTTGTCGTACGACAAAACAAACAAATGAAATAGCACCCTTAGGCCGATATTTCATTTGTGCGTTTTTGTCATACGACACAAATGTGTGCAAGACAGAGAGGTCACCGGATCTCTCTTTCCTATAGCCAATCAACACGCAGGAAAAGCATGTCGTACGACAAAAACGCAAAAATGAAATATCGGTCTTATGCCCAATTTCTTCACTTCCAGAAGTTCCAGATAAGTTGCGGATAACTTTATCCAGGCGATATCTCCATTGTATTCTGGGAGATATCTCATGGATTAAGTTGTTATCCAGAGGTGAAGAAATTGGGTATTAGGCCCAGTTCCACAACTCACGGTTAACTCTTAACCGAGGTTCAACTTATTCATTGTCTCTTTCCAATTCTTGAATTGGAAAGAGATGAGAAACAAATTGAACTTCGGTTAATGCCCAATTTCTTCATCTCTAGATAACTTTATCCAAGAGATATCTCTCAGAATACAATGGAGATATCTCCCGGATAAGATTATCCGCAACTTATCTGAAAGTGAAGAAATTGGGTATAAGAGTTAATCGTGAGTTGTGGAACTGGGCCTTAGTCATTTTAAATTATCACCGTCAGGTTATTACATCTATTTAAGATGTAATAATGACGTCATTTATTTATCCATTCTACGACGTATTTACATCATATACTTATTGACGTCGGATAAATGATCGATTAATTCGAAATGACGATATGTACTACGTTATTAGTTATTAGTGAATAAATTAATAACGTCATTCATTTAAGCCGTTAAAACATGGAAATAATGACGTAAGTATTTATAACGTCGGTTTATACGACGTACGTTATGTGGCTGCAGCGACAAATCTACTTATCATTTTTATGATGACAGGACGTCAAATTCGTCAAATTCGTCAAATTCATCAAGAAAGAGTATAATTAATAATTATCGAAAATACAATACTATAATAGACGACACTATGCTACCTAAAATGTTTTTTTAGTATTACACTAATAACACTGTAAGAATTATATAGGTAGACACCGCATGGTATTGAATCTACACCGATATTTTGTAGAGTGAGTTGATTACTTAGCCTGTTGATTCAAAATCTGCACGTCAACTTTAGCAACTCGATACGATCGAGCGAAAGATCCACACCCTGAACTGCAGACGGCTGCAATAGGAACATTCGGGGCCAATCGGGGCCAATCGGAGCCGTTTCTGGTTTCTCATATTGCCAATTAGAGACACAAATAATAATGCGGCCGCCTTAAATTATTTTCAACTTGCGATAAAGGCGATACACGGCGGAGAGCGGTTAGTTTAGTAGAGCATCTACATGTCCGGCACAACCGTGATTTTAATCTAACCGCGTTAAAAAAAACGCGGTAAAAGATATGTTCTTGTTTAGCGACAATTGAAGCCTGGTTTTTTTCCCACACCAATTTAAGTTCTGACTGGTATACACTGATGTAGTAAGTTAGAGTGAGACAGGCTATAGCTTGTTTCACTCTATAACAAATTGCACTAGTTCAGAACTAGTTCTGCGAAAAAGAACAAAGAAAAGGGTGTTAAAACCATTATCTACAATGTAATACATATCTACACGTATATATATGTATAAGCGTAGTGCTTTTAATTGTAAGAATTGACCAAGCACGGTCGAATATTTGTCTCATATATTCAAGCGTGATCGATTAATTCTTACAACTTACAACTACGCTGCAAGATATCGTAGAATGGGCTTTATGGCGTTGTTATCATGCACGCGCATCGCTTCCGCTTTACTTACCACAAAGATGAAATTAAATATGAAGAGCAGATACTTGATCACTCCCATTCCACAACCCATTTTTTTTGGTCGGTCTTGCAATACGAATGCTGCGATGTGAAGAAACCGCTCTGAGCGAGGACGAGAAACTGAAACGAAATCACACGTGACACGGACACACAACAAAACAATCTGTGACTATACGGTTTAACCGTCCGACTCCAACAGAAATTACATTCAACTATTCAAGCGATGCTCCGCGCAGCGCCAGCAAGCGCCAGTAATACCAGTATGACGGCGCGGCGGCCGCACGAAACCATCCGAAGTTGACCGAAGGCGATTCGCAGTCGGCACTGGCGGCACTGTCGGCAGTAGGCAGTCGAGTCACAGTCACTAGAGCACTTTGGAGTACTTCAGAGAGTGGCAAGCCAACTCATTTAGGGGCTGTGCACAATGGCAGGAATAAGGAATAATGATTTCAATCTATCAGAAACCGTGTATTCCAATGTATTTGATTTCTGATAGGTTAGGTTAGGGAGATTAGCCGTTGCTTCGTATCATTGGAATCCTGTTTTCTGATTGGTTGCAGAGCGTCGTAGACGCAAATCGGATACAGGGTGAATCCAGCATATGTCTTTGGCTGTTACTTTATTTTGAAGCGCCTCTATGTCCACAAAATGCGGACGTTGAACTAAGTAGCCAATGTCAATGATCTGGTCGGTAATGTCCACGATTTTTTGGTTGTATTCTTCGCTATGTTCACGAATTTTGGTCCGTTAAATATACAAAATTGTAAGTTGCTTGTAACAAGACTTATTACAAGCGCCGACAAATTGATTGTCTTTGTCTATCGAACGGACCGAAATTCATGGATATAGCGAAGAATATAACCACAAAATCATGGACATTGGCCACATAGTTCAATGTCCACATTTTATGGACATAGAAGCGCTTCAAAATAAAGTAATATAAAGTCACTAGAATAACTAAGTACCGCGACCTGCCGCTATTTTGGCTCCATAACACGCGGTTATTCAAAACTTCAGCCTCTTTCGCTGCGGTTTTTGCAATTTTCAACACAGCATTTTGGCCCCAAATGCTAATTCAGTAAATTTTCTCATCGCGATACTTTGTTAATTTAGTGAAGAGGAAAATATATGAGGGACAATGATCAGATGATAACAGAATTATTTAAACATTCTTTTCTTTCATAGTATATGATTCTACAAAAACATACAATCATACATCTTGTACAAAAGTCTTCATTTTCAGTATCGATTTCTAAATTTTTAGAAAATTATAAAAAATTTGCATAATATATTGCAAATAACGAAGTTTAAATGAAAAATCAGCGAAAAATAGGTTTAAAAAGAAATGTTTAAAAGAGATTTAAAATAAAAGATGTATAGATAAAAAATATAAACTAATAAGTAATATTATAAATTAAGATATATAGATGAAAATAATAGAAAAACTACATTCGCGTAATTAATAATTATGTTATTTTTGTCACTTACTCCGACTCGTTCGATTACGTTCTGTTCTTTAACCGAGGATCATATAAATATTTCTGGATAATGCAAGATTTAAAAATGATACATTCATACCGAGTGTTTAATATTATTCTACTTTTGTTGGTCGTGTCGATCGTTGATTGAGGCATTGCACTGTGCACTTCATTATCTATTCAATTATTGCACTAAGAAATATGTTAAGTACAAACTAACTGCCTATTAATAATCTAGCAGGACCAAATTAGCAAAACCAAATTAAACCTGTTGAAATATTTGATACTTTTTTGTACTAATTTGTGTTGTTTTCATCAATAAAAACAATTTATACAACGTTCCAACATATCCAATTCAATTTTGTTAATTTGGTTCTGCTAGCTAGAGATTAAACTAAATTAATTAAAGGCCTCAAAAAAGTAAATATGGATTTTGATACCACGTTTGCTCAGATAATAAAATCCTATTTTTTAACTAAATTTAAATAAAGTCTCGGTATTGCTAGGAACTTAAATAAAAAGACAGAAATGCTATCATAATATTAAGACAGAAATGTTGTCATAGTATAAAAACCTATTTACTTATAAAATGGCAGTAAGGATGCAAATTATTCAGGCACCTTTCAGAATATTATCAACTTTTTTCTTTATACAAGGGTATTCAAGTGAGAGTCAAAAATACTTTAAAGATATATTTTCCTCAATGAATTAAAAAATTTTGTATTTTCCTTAAATTTAATTAAGAAAAAAAAACAATCTTTTTTAGAAATTATCTCCTTAAATATGTATAAAAAAATTTTCTTTCTATCAATTTTATTAAAAATATTAATTAAGATTTATTTGTAAAGTAATTCATTGTTAAAAATTCACAAGCTGTAGCTCCCGCCCCTCCCTCTCTCTAAAGTATAATTTCTAAAATGTTTAGAGTGAATCGTCACTTTGAAGAATGAAATTTCACCCTAAAAGATTGATAATTAGCCAGTCTTTTTCACGACTAACTCAATTTTTTTACCTTTTAGAGTGAGATTCTACACCGAAGAATTTAGAGAGTGAAAAAAAATTGGAAGTGTATCTCGATTGATCTGAAACACCCTGTATAATGGGGATATTAATATCACTAATGTATCTATACACTGTTGATATTGTCACCACGCGAAACTATTTCGCATATCACAATGATGCAACGTCTTAAGCGACACACATTTCTGTCCTTCGTCATATACAGCATTAGCTAAGGACTGCCAGAATTATGCGAATATTTCGACTGACGTATTAAAAGATTGTTCTTAGTATCTGTTTCCTTCGTATCTTGCAGAGACGTGCGCATAGCCATCTCTGACGCTCTCCTTTCCATCCTGTCTTTGTATATCCTAACGTAACAAGTCGTGCACGCTATGAAGGAAATCTGAAATCAATTGATGACAGTCTTTCGATTAGTTGAGTGATCCGTGAATTACAGTGAACAAAGACACGCACCTGCAACAGCACAGAGCATAACGCGAGCAGAAACACATGAAGAAGGATCGATCTCGTCCGACTTAAAACCACGTGCTGACATCCACGTTTATTGATAGTAGTGCAAGCACCCCCGGTATTGTTTTCCTGATTCGTCGTGTTGCAACAGGACCAAGGAATCGATTCTACGCTACGATAATCGGAAGGCCCATCTATTCCGCAACATTGTAACTAAAATTAAATTATTAATCGAATCGAAGTAAGCTCGATTAAAATTTTTCTCACATTTCATATATCTTATTTTATCGTAAATATAACTAAAGGACTCTGCACTTAGGGCCAGTTGTTCTACTTTTTGGTAAATTTTACCTGTGAGATAAATCTGGTAATCCGTGCATGTGATTGGATAATCTTGCTACTTATCTAATAGGTCAAATTTACCACAATACAATTTGTTTTTTTTTTTACAACTATGTATAATCATTTATATACTAAATTTATGGACGCGTGTCCATCCATAATAATGTCAAACTATACCAATAGAATAGTCATCGACACAGATATGTATACACCGATGCATATGTATATACTACACTCCCTTCACCCCGCGCACACATTCATACATAAAAAAAACAATTCAATAATAGGTATAACACGATTGTATTGTGAATGAAGTTTAAAAAACAAACTGTATAAATGGTAAAATTGATAAAAGAGGACTCAGCTCTAATGACCTTGACACATAGATTTCTCGTCCGTGACCGCAAGGGCAAAAATCTCTTCATGTCGTGTAGACGACAGGGTGTCTACTTGTTCATGGCGTACTAAGGCCCAAATCCCGACACCGGTTTCGATCAGCACGATGATCGCCATTGCTATAGCAAACTGAAATGTGAACAATTCATGTAAATTTTGAATTTCCTAATTCTTCCCTGAATATTCCAGAAGTAAACTTACAATGATCACTTGACCTTTGTTGGAAAAATCCAGGAATTGCCAGGCCAACCAGCCGATTCCGCATGTAATAACGCCCATCGCCAACAAAGTAGCAGGTGACCCGCACACATGGCTGGGTGTGAGCAACGCATATTGATGCAGCTGATAAATGAAATAACTGGCAAACACACTCACGATTGCACCGGAAATCTGCAGAAGAAGAAAAACTTTTTCATATTCACAGCAGATACTACAATACACTAAGATGATCAAGAAAGTAAAGAGGGATATTTAAAAAAATTCAATATTGCCGTAAATAAATTTTAATAGATGAGTATTTAATTAATTGTTAACGAAACACACAAACAATATCATATTATTATATTTGCAAATAACTAATAACATTTAATGTATATCATATAAGATTACAAAAAAATACGTCAAATTACGAGAGGACATTATTTTCTAAAATCTTTTCTATCGAATATATTTTATGAATATCTATGGATTTTTTAAATAAAAATCATAAAATTTTCTTTACATATTAGTTGAAAATTATATTTCACACTTATTATTTTTATTTTTATTATTTTTATACTTATTAATTCATAGTTATTATTTTTATATATACTTAAAAGGGAGACACGATTTATATAATCATGTCCTTAATTTAAAACGCTGTTGTAAAGTGAGATGAAGAGTTAAAATTTGGGACTGTCCTTCTAATTTAGGACGGTTTGTCACTGTACAATACCAATATTTTCAATAATAAAGGGTAAAAAGAGCTAAGAGCCAACGCTAATTCGTGATAGCTAATATTTAATGTCAAATTTAATAAACGTTTCATCCTCATATTAGGACCTTTTCAATGTTAATACATAAAAATAATTCCTACCTTACATAATAAGTCAAATATTAAAGTTGTTGAAAATTACAAATTAAAATTCTTCTGAGTATATGTGGTGTACGGGTGTGCAAATTTGTTCGAATTCTCGAATCACAATGGATTCGATTCGTCCTGTTTTCGAATCTGAGAGATTCGAAACCGAATAGTTCGAAATTTCGAATCATTCGTCTATTTTAAATGCTTTATTTGCATGATTCTCTCTCTCTCTCTCTCTCTCTCTCTCTCTCTCTCTCTCTTCCCTTTATCTCCTGCGATCAATCTTGTATCAGCGCTTACCAATCTTCGTGCAAGCGCGTGCGCTTATTGGCTTATATTATGAAGAAAATGCTATTCATTTTTTTAAATACTATTTATTTTGTTTAAGCCAATGAAACTGAAATAAATAAATTTAGCACAACAATTAACTTTAAATTAGGTTTCGACTAAAAGAAACGTTTTATAATTTGATTCGATTCGGCGTAAAGATTTCAGATTTAATTCGATTCATTTTCGAACATGTCACAGATTCGATTCGATTCGATCTTGCAAATGCTTGATTAGCTTGACCCTCTAATGTGGTAAATATGATTTCCATGTTTCGTTGTTATTTCTTCATTGCTCAATATAATTTATTCAATATCAGTTGTAATCTTATACTCGCAATTCTCGAACTAATATACGTTTAGTTACCAATATTTTCCTCTCGTTACTATCCGAGACAAAAAAAGTCCATATAGAATATACTTGAATAAATTAAATATTCTATTTTAGAGAGAGGCATGTGTTTCTATCAACAAAAATTTTTTAAAGTTCATATAAACATGAATCTAGAAACACTTAGTTTCTGAGATGGGAGGAACTTTAATGCTCTAACAATATTAAACAATTAATGGAACAAATAATAGGTAAAATTAAACAAGACAAAGAGAAACAAAGAAAAACAAAGTAAACAACTCACAATATATTTACAGAAATGGTTCAAAATTATCTACTACTACCTTGATGCATCTTTTCAGCCTCCGTTTCATGTTTTGTCTTACTCTATTGAATATTCTTAGAATATTACACATCCATTTACGCTCTCTTAAAACTCTCTTAGGAATTTCATAAATAATAAACTTAAAAAATTCTTACGTTTTGGATTAATTCGAGCCATCTTCAGCAGTCTAGTATAATAAAATCTCTTGATAAATAACTTCAGACATCTTAATAGTCTCGTATAATATCACTTAAGAAAAACACAATTTATCATAAATATCCAGTTTTATGATAAATTTAAGAACATTACTAAGAATCTTAATGTTAAATTATCTTTTTTTAGTTCAAATAAACTTGACGGAATCATCGAAACTTTTATTATTCCTTTTGACTACATTGCACCATGCTTCATACATCATGCGGTACCTTCTTTAACTCTCTGACAGCGATAGTTTTTTAAATGTAGTTTTAATTTAATTTGTTTTTATAATTGAATGTTTGTAACGACTGAAGGGAACTACTGTAAGAGTCGAAACGTTTCGAATAGTATATGGAAATAACTTTAGATTAATAAAATTGTCATCTACTTTAAGCTTGTATATTACCGTTATTTTGGCATTGTAATAAAAAAAATTTTCTTAAATTTTATTTTTTCTTAAAAAAAAATGCAAAAATTATTTATCAATTCTTATTACTTTTTGTCTATTGTATATAGATACAATAGAGAGGAATAAGTACAAGAGAAAGAAAACATATACGAACACACAACATACATACATATGTTACAAACATTTATATTTTATTATATACATATATGTATATAGATATGTATATATACACTTTTCTATCGAATGTACATATACAGTTATGCAGATTTAAGTAAGTAGAACAATTATTTTTGCTGCGATATTCATACTTTGCGATATTTTGGTGTAATGACTTGCAAAATGTTTCGCTTCACGCGCGATAAATACATTTCGATCGTTGATTATATCATAATATAGAATCGTACAGAAATAGACATGGATAAAAATCAATTTTGTTGAAATTTGCTCGTATCGCTTCCTTCCTCGAAAATAGTACGCAAACTCGGCAATGATACAGATTGTGTTATCAGACTGTTGTAATAGATGAGTTATCACAGATAAAGAAGAAAAAAATCTTATCTATAAATGGGTAAGGCGCTCGTACAGTCCATTTCAAATAAACTTTGCACATCACAGTACTTTAATTACTTTCAACACTATCGCACTAGTATCACAACGATAGTTGTCTTAAATTGCAGGAAAACCGATATAACTTGTAATCTTTCGACTCGAAATAAGAGTTTATTTATCTTATCGCAAAAGACTTTAATTCTTGGAACATATATATATTTCAGGTGAACAACTTTCACTAAATCACTAGAATTAAAATAATATCTAAATGTATGTGTATATATATGTGCGTGCGTGTGTGTAATGTAAATTAAAATATTTAGAAGAAAGCTGATTATACAGGATGACAATGAAATGGGTGGCCTCACTGGTAGTATTTTCTACTATTATTCCTAAGAATGAAAAATAAATATAAACGTATATTTGGAAACTCTTTCTTTTCGATTTCCTTCTACAACAATACACGCTTTACATCGACGAATCAGAAACTGTTCGAAAACGTTGAAAAATTTCTATAGTTTATATTCTGAATTTTGGCACATGCTATAATAATCCGATTTTTTAATACTTTTAGATTATCAAATTTCGATCACTCTGTATAACATCATTATCACATAACTGACGTCAAACCAGCGATTTTTTACAATTAAACGGAATAAAGTGTTAATTAAGGTCGCTCCGCAATTAGTGCGTTTTTTTTTCAATTCTCTCGTTGCCTTTCATAAATAGACATCTTGTTTTATGACGTCATCACAGAAACAATAATTTTTCGAATATACTCAGAGTTCTCTTCTCTAAAACATTAGAGGTGCACAGGATATCCGGAAAGTATCCGGTATTATCTGGTACTTTTTTACGATCCGATCGGATAGCCGGATATCACTATTATTCGGGGAGGCATCCGATTGAAATTTGGTATAATTAAATTGTTGATTTTTTCTTACACAAACGTTCTAGAAATAAGTATGCATATTCATGATGCTATAATATCTTATACATTGTCGCAAAATTACAATCTTTTTTCCTATAGGTTTTTTTTAAAAAACATTTTCTCGGAATCCGGTCGAATATCCGACTGAAAGAAGTGCCTTCTTGGATATCCGATCGGATACCGGATATCCGATGTTACATTCTGCCCGGGTATCCAGTATCCGGTAATTTTACGATCCGGTGTATCCCTATAAAATATATTGAATCGATTTCGATTCGTTTATCGTTTTTCAGAGTACCTATCATGGAACAAGTCGAAATTCTTGTTGGAGTCCATTTCGATTTATTCCGTGATAGGTACACAAACACACACACATACACACGCGCGCGCTCACACGGTGAGACATTTAAAACAGGTCACCTGAACCAATAACTAGCTTGTTTTTAACAATAGAAGGAAAAGTACTAAACAAAAGTTGCGTAGTTTCAAGAGGGACGTATTTTGGTCATGTTTTTCTTCTAAGTGAAAGCGCTAAAGAGATATGAAGCTCACCTCCATTTTTTTAAACGGAATTGTATGATTATTTTTACACAATATGGTTCCTGTAATCAAAAAACCAATAGTTTACGAGATATTTTATACTTTATTCTGTCACATGTTGACTTAAAATATTAAATATCTCGTAAACTATTAATTTTTTTATAATCGTACTTTAATACTTTTTATGAACAGAATAATGAAATAAATCAATTGGAAAGAAAAAGGCAAGAACCAATCATATTGAAGAATCACTAAACGCTAACTGATTAATTTTCTCTGCTGAACGCAGCCAATGCGAAGGAATAACGATAGCGACAGAAATAACATGATTCCAACCTATCAGAAACTGAATATTCCAGTGTATCTGATTTCTGATAGGTTGAAATCGTTTGGGGCTTTGATACTCGTGGATATCATTTGTCCTTGTTTAACATCGATAAATAAAAAGAACGAAAAAATTCTTAGGTTTTGTAAGCGTAATGAATCGGACGATAAAATGACATTTAATCTTGCTCGAATATAGACGCACGTTATAGTAGGGTGCTTTCCATTTGATGACAAGTCGATGACACAAGCGTCATTCTATCCTTCTCAAGTCTGTTTTCTGTGGCCGAATCAGTATACACTTTTGGAACTTTAAGTGAAATAGGTTTGATATTTGTCGAAAGCGAGAAAGAAAGTTCTAGCTATAGTACAGTCTAGTGTAGGAACAGAAAACAGACCACTTGACATTCAGAAGGTTTGTTCGCGTCGCATGCTCCAACATGTTCCAACATACTCCTACCATAGCTCCTACTCACTCTATCAAGCGCGTTGGAGTGAGTAGGAGCTATGGTAAGAGCATATTGGAACATATTGGAGCATGCGACGCGAACAAACCCAGAGAGTGACAAAGATAGAATGACACTTGCATCGACTTGCGTTATCAAGTGGAAAGCACCCGTATACCCCTCCGACATCAGCATCATTAGCATTGCACGCTTGCGCGCAAATTGCGAATTGCAGCGAAACGAATTGCCGCCGCTCCCTTGAACGAATGCACGCGCGATGCCGCGATCTCCGAAGACTCCGAAATGTTCCGAATAGCAACGGCTGCGCGAATGATCACAATAATGGCACGCTGAATCAGTTATTAGGCTAAATGGATCTCGAAGACACAAAGGCGAGATAACAGCTGCGAATGCTGCGATGACAAGTATACGAGCTACAAATAGCTAGGAATTTAGGCCGAATGATTACGTCCTTTGTGAAGAATGTGCAGAATGTGCTAATCTCGATCGAGAATGGGACATGGGACGCGGAAGAGAACAACCTAACCGACACCGATGCCGCAATGATTGGATTTGTGGATAAACAGTTAATACTTTACGAGAGAAGAGAATTAACTTACGCCAAGGAGGATCGCACCAGCGACGAGGCAGTAGCGGAAACAGACGAACGCGTGTCCCATGGTGCGTGCTCGCGCTTACAAATAGCACTTATAAATAGCATAAGCGTAATACTGTTTTGGATCGTTGCGCACACTGGCGACTCCGAAGTGGTTGCGTGCTCACCGTCGCCACGGTGACCGAACGCTAAGTGGACCCTCTTGCAGCTTGCTTCTTCTACCCTACTTGCTCTCACGCTCTCACGCTCTCACGCACGACGACGACAGTGATGAGTGCTGCGCGTGTTCAGAGGACTCAATTACTACGTTTACACGATGTTATCAGTTATGTAACTGCCCAATCACAGTCATTCCATTCTTCAAAGGAATAACTATGATTGGCCAGTTTCATGACATCGATGTTATGACTTCGGCGTAAATCGAGCCGTGTAAACGTAGTCTATAGTTGAGTGAGCGCTCGCTGTTATTAGTGTATTCTTTTAGCTCATCCAATCAGAATTTTAGATTTAGAAGAATACACCAATAGCAGTGAGCTGTTGAGTCCGCTGAATGCGTCCAAAAACCGCCGTGGACGATCAGTTCACCGAACGCTTTTCCGGAAACGGTTATACATCCGCTGCTTATATTCCGTTAGATCTAAAAATATAGACCAAACAGATACAAGAGCTCACTGAGCGCTCAGTGAGCGGTCGTAGTACTGAATGTACCTAATTTTGATCACGTGACCTGTTTTCACCCTGAAAATGAGCGTCGTAGCGCCAGGTGAAAGTCCAGCCTTAAACCATTAGAAATTGACCAATTACAGTCGAATCCGAAAAGAATAAGCGACTGTGATTCGCCCATTTCTTATGGCTTAAGGTTTAAAACCCTATTGTGAATCCGGACTTAGGGAAATATTCGAAATGGATTCCGATCGGAATTATTCAATTATTCCCTAGATTTCTATTGTGTTTTCTGAAGAAAACGAAATAATTCCGCTCGGAATCCTTTCCGAACATTTCCATAATGCTGGATTCACCTTGCATCCGATTTGCGTCGTGCGACGCTCTGCAACCAATCAGAAAACAGGATTCCGATGGATTTTGCTTCGTATCATCGGAATTCTGTTTTCTGATTGGTTGCAGGGCGTCGTACAACGCAAATTGGATGCAGGGTGAATCCAGCATAATAGGTATCCTGATACTGGATTCACACTGGATCCGACGTGCGTCGCTCTGCAACCAATCAGAAAATAGGATTTTGCTTCGTATCATCGATACAAAATAAAATTCTGCTTTCTGATTGGTTGCAGAACGTCATACGACGCACGTCCCCGTCGGATCAGTGTGAATCCAGCAATAGCGTAGACATTGTGTACATACAGTGTAATTGTGTTTTTAAAGCAGTGAATTTGTGTAATTAATGCAAAACGCGTATCGGGATGATAGATATCTTAATCTATAAAGTCCACAACTTTAACGCTTTAACAACTCAATTCACGACGCCAGCAGCCGCGTTTTTCTGCCAGATTCTTTTGTTTTGGGCATTGAATGAGTATATTTTTATTAAGATTTTAGGTAGGGTATTTTAAATAATTACCGTATATTTTAACGAACTAAATATTACAATACGTAACGATTTCTTATTTGACGTTATTTTTCTTGTAGTTGATATAATTTATATGGCTCACACTTGTGCCAAGTATTTAGTATTATGGAATGCAAACTATATACTTTCATTATTCCTCTTCTTATTATTGTTATTATTCTTATGGCAGAATGGCTGGTCCGTCATCTGATCAGAATAATATTGCCCAGAAGACATGGGAGTTGTCAAACTGCATTGAAACTATCAGCACCATGGACGAGATTTATAGATACGACAGAAAGGAACAACAAGATATATTAACTGCCAAACCATGGGAAAAAGAGTATGGGAGAGAAAAAGAGAGAAAGAGAGAATACTACTAATCTATATACCACGAAAACCAAAAGCATTAACTGGTAATCAGTACTTTTTCTTATTTGTAGCCCCCATTTCTTCAAGGACATAAAAATATCTGCGTTAGCTCTGTTAAAAATGGTTATGCATGCACGATCTGGTGGGACGCTAGAAGTAATGGGTCTCCTGCTTGGTAAAGTAGCAGCAAACACGATGATTGTAATGGATTCCTTTGCATTGCCAGTCGAAGGGACCGAAACTAGAGTAAATGCTCAAGCTCAAGCTTATGAGTACATGACAGCATATATAGAAGCAGCTAAACAAGTACATATATTTTGTAACAAAAACTACTTTTTAAATATATGGCAATAATCTATAGCTTTCAATAATTTATTCTTTAGGTTGGTAGATTAGAGAATGCAATCGGATGGTATCACAGTCATCCTGGATATGGCTGCTGGTTGTCTGGTATTGATGTATCCACCCAGATGCTCAATCAAAATTTCCAAGAACCATTTGTTGCAATTGTCATCGATCCAGTGAGAACCATCTCCGCTGGCAAAGTTTGCCTTGGTGCATTCAGAACTTATCCTAAAGTACGTTTTATATAGACCATGTCTTAAAAAATTGAAATTAATCCATTTTAGAAAAAAGGAATCTAAGATGTTTATTTTAGTTCCAGATATACTTAATCCGTAACTGGGACATACGAGTCCTAGTAACCTTGGGATATTTTCCTAATTTTTAAATAATATAATAATTTGGAATGATTTTATGTTTCACAATTTGATTTTGTATAATAATTTGTTTTATTTGTGTTGGCTAATTATTATACTATTGTATTTATATTAAGTTTAAGTGTTGTAATTTTATATATATAGACTGTCCCATTTTAATGTCCCACCCCAAATAACTTTTATTTTTGATTTTAGGAAATAATGTTTCAGACAAAAGTTGTACGGCTTTGAGGGGGACATGAGATGGTGTCATTAATTTAACCTTGAATAATTACTTGAAGGTCACGTGAAGGTTACCTTTAATTTCATAAATGGAATCTTCTACTTTTTATTGTACATTTTTGTAGATCATCTCGAGAGCTTTCTTAAACATTATAATTAAATTCATTTTCATTAAGTACTTTTCGAGTTATAAGGCTTGCAAGTTGCAGCACCGCCGGCATTAGCATTATCCAAGATGTCCGACCGACGGCTAAAACTTCTTAAATGTTCAGAATCATGACCTGAATAACATTTGTCAAGATCAAGGCCATTGGAGGTTGTATCTCTTATTTTCATTTTTACGTAGAAATAAATTTTTAGTGCAAAAGTGGAAATAAGAGGAACAATCTCCAATGACCTTGATCTTGACAATTGTTATCCAGGTAATGATCTTTTTGAACCCTACAACTTTTGTCTGAAACACTTTACTGTAATACTTATACTTTCCATGATATTCAGGTGTCCCGGCACTTTCCAAACAACCTGTACATATAGCTGATAACTAACAAATTTTTTACCTAGTAACAGGAAACTTTAGTGAATCTCAAGGATTCATATATTTCTTTAGCTAGTTACAAAAAGTGTGTTCCTGTTATGCATTAATAATATTGACTTTACATTTCCTATTGAGAAAAATAATTAGCATTTCACTTAAATTGTTTTTAGGGATATAAACCTGCTAATGAAGAGCCGTCAGAATACCAGACGATACCACTGAACAAAATCGAGGACTTTGGTGTTCATTGTAAACAATATTACTCCTTGGAGGTGTCCTACTTCAAGTCTGCATTGGATAGACGACTGCTCGACTCATTATGGAATAAATACTGGGTGAACACTTTGAGCTCTTCTAGCCTATTGACAAATGCGGATTACACCACCGGCCAAATATTCGATTTGTCGGATAAATTAGAACATTCGGAATCAGCTTTGGGTAGAGGATTTGTTTTAGGCGGCACGGATCCTCATGATCGCAGTACAGTGGAAAAACTCATAAAAGCGACCAGGGACAGTTGTAAAACTACCATCGAAGTTATTCATGGTTTAATGGCGCAAATTATCAAGGACCGTCTGTTCAATCACGTCGGTAGTAACGTGTCTTGTGATTCTCAGCAAAAATAATAATATTCAGTATAATGTGTGTGATAATAAATCTGCTATGTGTATTTGTAATAAAGATATGTGTCCTCGTTTAAAGTCGAGGTTTCTGAAACCATTACTTTGCAATTTCTTCATTTCCGCTCGAGAAACTTGTTTAAGATGGAAGATTAAGATTATACAATAGAGAATGAAAAATATCAACGTTACGATAGCTCTTTTTATATTCCCAGTATACATGAATGGTGAATGATTTTAAAAAAACGTAGTGGAATAAAAATACATTTTATTTTCACACCTTGATTCGCTAGAAAGTATATATACAGCATTTTTATCCTTAATATTATATCTTCATGTATGTATTTATATATTTATAGGTATGTTTATAAAACTAATGTGTAATATTCAGAACAAGTAGGCAGAGCAATAACCCCACTGAAGGGCTGACGCGCTGTGTCACAAACTTTAAGGACAAGGCCACTCAGGAACGCACACCTACCTGTTCTATCTTATATATTCCTATACCTCACGCGCGCGCGCGCGCATTTGTATCTCGAGCAACATATAAGGGACGGAGCTAAAATGCGTACAGTATACACACATGCGCGCGCGCACGCACGCACGCATGCACGCACACATATATCTATCAATCGTAAAGCTGATCGAGAAATTATATATAAGATGTCCCGATTAGAAATCATAGAAGGAAATGTACGACTGAAAGAAATGTGCGGTGCTTTTGAGAGATATGAATTCTTATGGTATGTATGTACATACCTGTACATCTATGTCGCATCGCGTTATATCACGTTGAACCATATTAAATAATTAAGTACAATAGCGTATTTTATAACTTAATTCACATAAAAAAGTTTAAAGAAAAAAATACATATTTGGAAACAGAGAATGACAAAACTGGTTTTGTCATTCTGTTCTCCGTGTATCTTTTCTTCTTAACTTGTATACTTATTGTGGAGTTTACATTTGTTACTCATCGACAGATGTGAAAATTCGATTAAGTAATTATAAAATCGTATGAACATCATGTTAAATGAGCGAATGTTTCTGTATATTTCTCTGTTTCTCTCCTCTCTCTCTCTCTCTCTCTCTCTCTCTCTCTCTCTCTCTCTCTCTCTCTCTCTCCCCCCTCTATTCGATATAATATGTACAAATGATATCTCTGAGAGTAAATAATTCCAACTGAGTAGTAAATAGTAAAATTGGAATCCCAAAATTAGATAGTAAAAACCATTATTACTTTGCTATTAATTTTATGTTAGTGTTTACTGCAACTTAAAAGACTATCGTCGACATATACACAATTATCCTTTATGTTATGTCGTGACTTTCATGAAAACAATAAAAACGAGATATTTGACTATAGTTTGCAGATATAAAATCAATCTTAAAACATGGAATTTTGCATTTCTACTTTGTAGGGTGATTTCGCAACTACGTAGTATCGGAGTTGACTTTCCATCAGAATTCTTAAAATCAATTTAATACAATATAGCGAAACATCGTTAGAGCACGCGTTTTAAGGGAATTAATATAATTCAAAAGAGACGAAGAGATTTGATTGAACCGCTAATAAAACTCCAATATTTCTCGTGATAATAAATTTCTCGTACAACGGGATGCACAAAGCTCAATATGCATACATACGCGCGATAGATATAACATGACAATCAGAATTCAGCCCTTCAATGTTACTCTATACTCTGAATACCAATTCGAAGTTGTGTATGTACTCGCACGTAACACATTCTTGCACCATGGGTGTCGTGTGTATGTGTATTTATATTGGTATCTGCGTGTATCTCCTCCCAAAAAATGATATCTCTCTTTTTCTCGAAGACGGAAACGTGGATATTATCGTATATTCGCGTTATTGAATCAACAGTTCTATCATACACATATAAAGAGTCCCATCTCGCGTGTCCTTTTTTTTCTATTTTTGTTTATTTCGCGCAAGGCTTTCCTCGCCTCTGTACGTCATTGTGATTATCTAATATTTACAAGACGATCATTCGCGAGTCGTCCGTGATATCTTACAAATACAGCGGTAGAAAAGATTTTTTTTTTTGTTACAGCGAGAGTTATAAGCGCCTTCTCATAGATAACTTTTTGGGGCAGCGACAGAGCACTTTAGGTGACGAAACCTTCCTCCGATCCTTCCGTGTTTTTTCAATGTTCTATTGTTCCTAAGTGGCGTATGAAGAGTCTGATGTGTTTCTGTTTTCTTCTTTTTACTCTCGTTTCTTCGTTTTTTATTTCATTATTTAGCCTACGTGAGAAATTACGTGCTAAATTAGTAGCCGAAAAACGGGAATGAAACCAATCAGAGCACGATATCTCCCCAACTCCCTCCGCGTATTTCAGTTATTAGAAAAAATATTTAATTTTTCTTCTCTCTTCCTTTTTCTTCCGCACACATGCGACACATTACGAGAACAAAGCACTTGCACAAACATTCTCATCGTTAACCAAATTACGCGAGAACGATAGACAACAGTAATAATATAAAACGTAATTTTTGAAAGATCGCAGTATTAATATCACATTATCCGCGAGTTTTAATACGCGCCGAAGAATTCACTTTTCATTATGAGTTTTCAGAATATATCAAACAAATCGCGCAAAATTAAATTATCATACTTTTCAACACATCCAAAGTCTTTCTTAGGAAGTTTAGGTCTTGCCTTATCGGTGCCGCGTATACAATGATTAAATTGCTTAATACAAATGCTCCGTGCGTGCGTGCGTGTGTGTGTGTGTGTGTGTGTGTGTGTGTGTGTGTGTGTGTGTGTGTGTGTGTGTGTGTGTGTGTGTTGTAGCCAAGTTGTATGTTTCACTGTTCCTAATGAAGAAAAATTGCTTCATCTTCCTCTCAGTCCGCTTCCAAAACTCTATTAATTATTTGTAGGCAGGCATATGTACAAATGTATTTTGTATTACATCTTGTCACTGCGATGTCGAAACGGGAAAGTTATTGACTTCCGTTTGTTCTAGAACTGATCCAGTCGGGCCGGTATACGATATACGCAATCTCATTCTTAATTGTGCCTAAGGGACAAAAGAGAGATCGTCGATTAGAAACAAAAAACTCTTATACATAATATATTTTAGATAATGTGTTGAAAACTGACTCTACTCATATTAGTCACTCTCAAGACTTGAGTTACTTGACCAGACGGCGGAATGACAGTACTTGACGGCGACAACATTTGTAATTGGAATGTCTGCAAACAAGAAATGTATGATAAATACATTGGTTTGATATACGAAAAGTGTATACAGGGTGGGGAAAAAGTATGGAAGCAAACAATTATTTCCGAAACTATTCATTTTTCGACAAAATGTCTTAGACATAATTTTTATGGTATGAAAAGATGTATTATGTGGCATAGACGGCATGACCTTGAAATGACCCTTACGAGCTGCATACAAATAACGTAAAAAATTTCAAATGGAACTCGTCAGTTTTTGTTACAGATTCGTGTAGCTGATGTCGAAACGTTTACAAAACACTGCATATGAGCCCCATTCCCTTAAAAACACTCCCAGTTAAGAAACAATTGTTATTTGTATGTAAGAAACAATTACGTTATTTGTATGCAGCTCGTAAGGGTCATTTCAGTGTGTATATATATATATATATAATATACATATATAGTGTCTAACCCTAGGAACTGCTGCTTGAAACAAAAAATCGGTTAAAATAGTGCTTCCGGAATTTTGAGCCAACATATTTATGACCAACAGATCGGAGATATCGGGTGGTCTTTCTAATTTGAACGTTATTTTGAGCCCTGATTTATCCAAGATCACCATACTTGGTAGTTCTGTAACAACGATTATGATTATAATGATTTACACACTAATAAATCCGTGATATTATTTTAGATCCTGTGACGAACCGTTTTGCACTGTTGGAGTACTGAGTAATCCATCTACTAAGAAGTTACTGTTATTAGTGGGACTGAACATCGGTGGGGATGACGCCTGCGGTTGAAGTGGTAACGTAGGAGCGACAGGCGTAGGCGTATTCAAATCCAAACTTCCAAGCAAATCCAACAGGTCATTATTATGCGCTGCCGCGGTCGTATTCGATGAAGAATTTTTATTGGTCGTCGTCGCCGGCATCGTTATTCCTACATCCGTAGTTCCAAGTAAATCTAAAAGTGCACTCTGTAAAATTACAAAAAAAATTAAAGATATTAGTAGACATCTTCTTTAATTTAGTTTTTGTTTTCATAGAATATTATATTTTATATTATTTACACCCTTCTCGTGATCATATTGGGATCAAAATGATCTCAGAACGCATTTAACCAGTATTTTTTTTTATAAAACGAAAACTGTGAATGCAGCAATCGGTTAAATGCGCTCTAGAATCATTTTGATCCCTCTGTGTTACCATTATGGAACTTTTAAGTGTGACCACATTAGGATTAATAGAATCATTAAAAATCCTTTATATTATTCTTAGCTTATCATATATTTATAGTTTAAATGAAAAGATATGTTAAAATTTTGACTGCCATGTGTATCCAATTGAATATGGATCTAGAACGCCACATATATCAATTTGAATATACACATACTTACTACCATTTATATAAAAGCCAAGAACACTTTGCATTAATTTTATATATTATATTATGAATTCTGTGAAAAGGTCTATTAACTTGACCTAAGAATTTTATTTTAAAAAACATATTTTATTGAAAAATCTATTTTAATGTGAAAATTTTACTTAAAATTACATTATAGGGTAGAGCGGCGCTATTTCATCCATTTCTCACGATATTGTTTATGTTTCTGAGCAGCGTATATTAAACATTTGAAGGTCATATTTCTCAAGAAGCAATCATGATTGTATAAGCATGTAGTTATAAGCACGTTACTGCAAAAAGATATTATTTGTTACACCATAAATTTTATATTACTTTTAAAGTTAAAAATGACGGAGAATAAATCCGCTCTATCCTATTATAAAAACATTTCACAAATTCATCCAACGGCGATAAATGCATGTATTTTTACTGTATTTACATTTATATACATGGCGCAGACGCGCATGTATCTTTCACGC